TCCTCCTCCCCCACCCCCTTCCACCCCCCAGTTCTAACCCGCGCCTAATTGCATCCACGGGATAATAAGATTTGAATTTCGAATCGAGGCCACGGTAGCGAGGTAACGTCCGCTCCGCGATTAACCGAGACGCGTTTCTCTCTACCCTCTTCTTCCTCTTCCCGACGACGAACCATCGGTCCGACCGTCCACGTGCATTTCTTCCTTCTCGTTGTGACGAGGAGGAAACGGTTTTCTTTTTTCTCTGATTCTCTTTTTCTCTCTCTCTCTCTCTCTCTCTCTCTCTCTTTTATTTCTTTTTTCGTTTTCTTACCTCTTCGTTCCCTCTTCGATCGGCCGCATCGTTGTTCTGGATTCTGTTCGGGGAACATTGTTGAGATTGCGAATATTTGTCTCGTGAATCATTATTTACATCTTCTCGCGCAAATTTGGATCAAATTTTGGATCGTCGAAAGTCGTAAACGAGGATCTGTAGAATACGAAAAGTAGAATACGTTGTTGTTGCACGAATCCATCCATTCATCCATCTGATGAGAGCTCTGTCGCGACATCTCTGCGATCGTTACGAGTTACCAACCGGAAAAGAGGACAGTGATCTCGTCGATTTGTCGCAAGTATTGGGACGAGTAATAAGACTTAATAACGAGTTCGAAAACGTGACAATTTATATCACAGTGCATTTCTAGATGATTTATCAAGATAATCAAGGATTACGATTATTTTTGCACGTTGCAACTTTTTTGAGAAGATGAGAAGAGGCTGTGAATGTTGGCCGCGAAATAATTAGGAAGGATTTATCGAGAGTAAAGGAACTTGTAAAAAAAAGAAATAAAAAAAAAAGAAAGAAAAGGATTTGAACAACAAGTTAATTGAAACAGTGTCGTCGATATTGTGTTAAAGAAGTGAACATTCTGAATGTGTGTAAACAAATAATAACTGTATATAAAATTCAAAGTTACATTTTATATCTACGAGGAATAATATTCAAGACAGAAGCGTATAATTGTAAAATAGTAGAGAATTCGAATTGATTGTTTGTCAAGTAAACGTAAAATCGTTCGTTGAAATCGCCAGGAAATCAACGTATTCTTGAATAAATTCGAATATCTAATCGAATCGAAGAACTAAAAACGAAATAGTTGAACACTGCAACTGCATTAAATATTAATCGAGACATCTGATTCACTGATTTAATTCGAGAAAATCAAATACCTGGAGGAATAATAATCGTTCCAGAAAGAATTTTTCACAATATAAAATCAAAAAAATAAATAAATAAATAAAGAAGGAAAACATCGATAAGCAAGAAGATTCGAAAATTCTTTCATCCCTCTATATTATACTCTAACGTATTCGATCCAAAATCTGATACACAAGATTTAGAAAAATCAGAAACTTTTCGAAATTTAAAATACTTCTTTCTCCATTAAAAAAAAAAACCAAAAAAATTCTGATGGAGATCTGATAAAATCAGGAAGGATTTGAAATTTGAAAAAAATTTCCATCGATCAAAAATCACAGGAAATCCAATCCAATTAAAATTTTGAAGATCACTTCTCTTTCCATCGATCGCTGCAGAAACCACAGAAATCCTCGGATACAAATCGAAATTCAAACAAGAAGAAACAAGAAAGAATAAATCAAAAAAAAAAAAAAAAAAAGAAAGATCGGTTCCTCTGAAGAGGAGCATCGGATGATGTCCTGGTAGGTGGTGAAAGAACGTGAGGATCATCCGGTTCGAGAGACCTCAACAAGGTCAACCCGGCATCACCCTGGCTAACGACCTGTCTGGAGGTACCGGGGGTCCCGGTGCAGGCGGCGTCGGTTCCGTCGGGGGCACCTCCGTCGGCGGCGGTGGTGGCGGCGGTTCATCGTTGCCGACGACCGCCCTCAGCCTCGATCATCAGCAGTTCAACATATTTCCGGCGATTTTCAGCAGGCAGTTGAACTTT